AACCACTAAGTTCAGAGAGAGACCATCTGAGCCCCTGTCCCCAGGAAAGTGACAGGTCATGACATCAAATAAAATACAAAAGTAATAACAGGACCCAAAATGAAGGAATGACAAAAAAATATATTTTATGACGTGAAGACACACACGGGTAGCGTAACTCGTCGTCTGGTCCTTCCCGTTGCGCTTTGACCAATCAGAGGGCAGCGTTCTGACCAATCAGAGCTGATCACAGCAGAGCTAGAGCGGGAGGAAAACATCAGAGTTTGTGGCATTATTAATGTAGATTTATAGAAAACCAAAGGATTTAATGAGAAAAAAGTTAAGGATTGCAATTTCTCTGTAGGTTCTCTGTAGGTTCTCTGTCAGGTTCTCTGTCAGGTTCTCTGTAGGTTCTCTGTCAGGTTCTCTGTAGGTTCTTTGTAGGTTCTCTGTAGGTTCTCTGTCAGGTTCTCTGTAGGTTCTCTGTAGGTTCTCTGTAGGTTCTCTGTCAGGTTCTCTGTAGGTTCTCTGTAGGTTCTCTGTAGGTTCTCTGTAGGTTCTCTGTAGGTTCTCTGTCAGGTTCTCTGTAGGTTCTCTGTCAGGTTCTCTGTCAGGTTCTCTGTAGGTTCTCTTTAGGTTCTCTGTCAGGTTCTCTGTAGGTTCTCTGTAGGTTCTCTGTCAGGTTCTCTGTAGGTTCTCTGTCAGGTTCTCTGTAGGTTCTCTGTAGGTTCTCTGTAGGTTCTCTGTCAGGTTCTCTGTAGGTTCTCTGTAGGTTCTCTGTAGGTTCTCTGTAGGTTCTCTGTCAGGTTCTCTGTAGGTTCTCTGTCAGGTTCTCTGTCAGGTTCTCTGTAGGTTCTCTTTAGGTTCTCTGTCAGGTTCTCTGTAGGTTCTCTGTAGGTCCTCTGTTAGGTTCTCTGTCAGGTTCTCTGTAGGTTCTCTGTAGGTTCTCTGTAGGTTCTCTGTCAGGTTCTCTGTAGGTTCTCTGTAGGTTCTCTGTCAGGTTCTCTGTAGGTTCTCTTTAGGTTCTCTGTCAGGTTCTCTGTCAGGTTCTCTGTAGGTTCTCTGTCAGGTTCTCTGTAGGTTCTCTGTAGGTTCTCTGTAGGTTCTCTGTCAGGTTCTCTGTAGGTTCTCTTTAGGTTCTCTGTCAGGTTCTCTGTAGGTTCTCTGTAGGTTCTCTGTCAGGTTCTCTGTAGGTTCTCTTTAGGTTCTCTGTCAGGTTCTCTGTAGGTTCTCTGTCAGGTTCTCTGTAGGTTCTCTGTCAGCTGAGGTCTGTTTTAGTTTATATTGAGTTCTATGGACATTTTTCTGGGTGACGTGACTATGGTCTGCAGTGCCTCGGTGCCCCGTGTGCCCATGGGTGGAACAGCTATTAACGGCTTATTAACCGAGCGCGAGGTCTGTACGGAGAAATATCAGACCGCGGCCTTAATGTAATGTGTGTGTGTCTGTGCAAAAAGGCCAAGGTCTGATAATTCTCTGCACAGACCAAGCAAGCGAGGTTAATAAATGTTTTATTATATGACTCTCGTCTGTGTCTTTACCAATGCTTTTGAGATATTTGTGAAGTATGTTCATGTCTGACTTGGTTTTGTGTGATACGCGCTGTTCGGACCAATTGTCATGGTAACGGTCCGAGATGGGAAAATATCAGACCGGTAATCAGCCAATCAGAGCGCGCGTACGGTCCAAGTCATATGATAAAAGCTGTAATACTCTATCCAGATATTATTATAGAACCATGATACATACAACTGAAGTATACAGTAAGTTACAAGTACAGGTATTTCCTTCCTGCTGGTGTCAGACCGTAGAGATATTCTTCATGTGTGTGGTGCTGTGTGCTCCTCATTCCTACTGCTCTGTAACTGCGTGATGCAACACTGACATTTCCCCGCTGTGGGACCAATAAAGGATTCTTCAGCTCCATGTACTGATCACTGCACTTTGAGATGCTTTGTATGAACTGTGCTATACAAATAAACTTGCCTTTGCCTAAATCCACTCAACCTCATCCGTCCACTGTCGTTAATAAACTCGTTCTCCAACTGAGTTCGTATTGTGTTGTCTGCTTCACAGTTTTATTCTTAAAAACTAGACCGGAAGTAGTGTGGTCTGAATGTAGGTGTCTTCACATGTGTGAGAGAAGTGACAGTTCGGGCTGCAGTTTACGCGGTGGTGTGTTTGGGAGAGAGTCCACTGAGAAAAAGAACAGTGGACAAAGTCACAGCCAAGAGCAGGACTGAAACTAGACTTTCCCACCGCCCCCACTGCCCAAAAGATCCAGTGCATAGACTCATCCCAGTGTCTCATTAGGAAATGGATGGGTGGTGCCAGATCAGAGAGAGAGAGAAGGGGATTTAACACTTTCTCTACAATATGCACTTCGCAGTTACACAATGCATCACATTCAAGTGTCACTCTATGGAAAGCGTGTGTCGCACGCACGGGCAAAGGAATAACCGTAAGGCTGAACCGTAGACCAAAGCTGTGACAAAAGAAGACGAGTTTTCACAGTCTATGGTTTTCACACCTCTATTATTAATCATGCATGATAATACAGGCACATGGAGACTTACAGATGTTTGTCTCGTGACCTGATTATAAGTATGTTCTACGATATCAGTTTATCAGGGAGGTTTCATAGTGTAGTATAATAAGCTATTTATGTATGTGTTACTGTGACAGTGTTTTTGTTATTATTATTGTTATTTTTTGCATCGAACTAAAAGAAACGCAAGAAAACAAATAACATAACTAAAATGATGAGAAACAACATAAATTACAATATACGTTTGTGTTTGTTTTTTGTTTTTTTTCTTTTCTTTTTTCTCCACGTGATATCTGTGGCTGTTTGATTAGTATCAGAGTATCCATGGATTAAGTTAAACATAGACTATTAGCTAAATCTTAATGACAGAGTCACAGGGGTGAGGCGAAATACGTTTATACTTCAGCCTAAACCTCTTCAGTCATTCATGTATTTGTGTTTTTCTGTATACCAATATATAATATAATATATACAGTCTATCATACCAATACGTAATATTTATGTTGAATGTGGTGACCGAAGGAGATATACACTGACCTGTCATCCGTTACTACACAGCTCAGCCAATCACAGAGCTCCCTGGGTCTTGTTGACTCGGTTGCCATAGATACGCCAGTTGGATACGCACGCGAAGCTAGCATGATTAGCATAACTTATTTAATTCTGCTGAAACTCAAAACAAGTGACAAACTCCCAAACACCGTAAGTTCTACTGCGGTGTGCTCCAACCCAGTTCTGAAGAAGTGTCCAATGAGTCAGCTGTTTTACTCAGCACCACAGTATACTCAGGGTACTGATGACTGTTAGCCTCTGTTAGCCTCTGTTAGCCTCTGTTAGCTATGGATAAACAGCGGTTAATGTAGCATGCTAATCTTGGAAATATTAGCATGCTACATTAGCCGCTGTGTATCATTCTAAAAGCGTCTACTTTTCAAATCCAGGTTAAAAACAGTTCTGTTTATCTGTGCACACACATCTGGAGGATTTTATATTACTCTTGTCAACGCACTGTGGTTATTTATGTTTGATAATTATTTTGATCCTATGCATTATTATTATTATGTGGGTTTAGAGGCACTTTGTCTTTGCCTTGTGTAGGAAAGGTGGTATTCAAATATATGCTGATTGACTGATTGATTGATTGAATGATTGATTGTGAATTTGCATCTGAATCAAAGCCAAGATACTAATGACTGTTACTAACTTATCATCTTTTTTTTAGCTTTGCCCTTGGAATGAATAAAGCATAACCTGTAACATTGTGCTCAAATAAATAAAATAAAATAACTAAATACAAAATGATTATGGCCCAAAGACTGCAAGGACACGAGGAGCTCAGTGCTGCTGACTTCATTGTTCTTTAAACATTTAGGCGCCAGAGGTTCTTTCTAAGAGGCTCAATGATGTCATCTTAATGTCTTAATGACTTTAAAGTGAAAAGCGAGAGGATTCATGTAAATTAGAGAAATTATAAGGATGACCCAACGTTCATGTAGGAATTAAATTAGTTTTAGGTACATAAATCGAATTAGTAAAATAACATTCCCAGCAGAAGGCCAGTCCCTGTGCTCCTCAGAGTCCGAGCAGGAGACCAGTCCCTGTGCTCCTCAGAGTCCGAGCAGGAGACCAGTCCCTGTGCTCCTCAGAGTCCGAGCAGGAGACCAGTCCCTGTGCTCCTCAGAGTCCCAGCAGGAGTCCAGTCCCTGTGCTCCTCAGAGTCCCAGCAGGAGGCCAGTCCCTGTGCTCCTCAGAGTCCCAGCAGGAGGCCAGTCCCTGTGCTCCTCAGAGTCCCAGCAGAAGGCCAGTCCCTGTGCTCCTCAGAGTCCCAGCAGAAGGCCAGTCCCTGTGCTCCTCTGAGTCCCTGCAGAAGGCCAGTCCCTGTGCTCCTCAGAGTCCGAGCAGGAGACCAGTCCCTGTGCTCCTCAGAGTCCCAGCAGGAGGCCAGTCCCTGTGCTCCTCAGAGTCCCAGCAGAAGGCCAGTCCCTGTGCTCCTCAGAGTCCCAGCAGGAGACCAGTCCCTGTGCTCCTCAGAGTCCCAGCAGGAGGCCAGTCCCTGTCTCTAACATGTCACAGATGGACTGTTGAAAGAGAGCTGCTGTGAGCCACAGGAGGCCAGTGCAGAGACCTGAGACCAGGACTAATGTGTGAGGACCTCTGCTAGTCCAACCAACTGGAGACATGGTCTATGCTCTAGTCTGCTTTAGACTCTATAGTTTTGATTCTGACAGTGGTTTTTCAGAAGGTTAAAAAGCTGCTGATGTTACTGATGTTGCTGTTGACATTGAAGTACTGTTACAAGTCTTTTCATCTACAGTAACATTTGTATCACGCTGCTGTTCTATTCTAACATGAGCATGATTTATACCCAGTGAAAGCAATGCCTTTCCTCTCTCTTTCAGACCCTCAGATCAAACTGAAAACTGTCTCGTTGCGTGTGTCTCCACCTGCCAAAACACCTGAGCCCGCTCCCGTCATGTTGTTCCCAGTGGAGGAGGCAGCGAGCGACCTGCAGCTGCGCCTGTGTGTGGGGGACGGCCTCGACACAGAGCGGCCCCCCCACGGTTCTGACAGTGACGAGCCGAAGGAGCTCTCCCTGCACCAGCCGCCCGACTGTCTGTGTCTGAAGCGGCGCCAGCTTCAGAGAGTTCCGGAGGATCTTCTGAAGAACAGGGCCCTCAGGGCCCTAAAGGTCAGAGCTAACTCCAACGCTTCATTAGCTCATCAGCAGACAGAAGCTAATGCGAACGTTAGGCTGCGTCCAATAGGAAACTGTTATTCACACAGAAACAATGTGAGAGAAGCAAAAGTGGAAAAGACCCCGACAGCTCATCGACAGTTCATCCATGTGTGTAAGAGAGGTTCTCACAGGTTCTTCCTCCCTGCTGCTGTCAGACTGTACAACAAGAACTGCTGAGTCTCTGATGTGTCACTGATTATAATTCACGAAAAAATGTACCTGTTATTATTATACTGTATTTTAACAATAGATAGATAGATACTTAATAGATCCCTGTAGGTGTGTATTAGCAGCAGAAACACATCCATCCAAACAAACTAAACAGGGACCAGCAGGAGGCCAGTCCCTGTGCTCCTCAAAGTCCCAGCAGGAGGCCAGTCCCTGTGCTCCTCAGAGTCCCAGCAGGAGGCCAGTCCCTGTGCTCCTCAGAGTCCCAGCAGGAGGCCAGTCCCTGTGCTCCTCAGAGTCCCAGCAGGAGTCCAGTCCCTGTGCTCCTCAGAGTCCCAGCAGGAGGCCAGTCCCTGTGCTCCTCAGAGTCCCAGCAGGAGACCAGTCCCTGTGCTCCTCAGAGTCCCAGCAGGAGGCCAGTCCCTGTGCTCCTCAGAGTCCCAGCAGGAGGCCAGTCCCTGTGCTCCTCAGAGTCCCAGCAGGAGGCCAGTCCCTGTGCTCCTCAGAGTCCCAGCAGGAGGCCAGTCCCTGTGCTCCTCAGAGTCCCAGCAGGAGTCCAGTCCCTGTGCTCCTCAGAGTCCCAGCAGGAGTCCAGTCCCTGTGCTCCTCAGAGTCCCAGCAGGAGGCCAGTCCCTGTGCTCCTCAGAGTCCCAGCAGGAGGCCAGTCCCTGTGCTCCTCAGAGTCCCAGCAGGAGACCAGTCCCTGTGCTCCTCAGAGTCCCAGCAGGAGGCCAGTCCCTGTGCTCCTCAGAGTCCCAGCAGGAGGCCAGTCCCTGTGCTCCTCAGAGTCCCAGCAGGAGGCCAGTCCCTGTGCTCCTCAGAGTCCCAGCAGGAGGCCAGTCCCTGTGCTCCTCAGAGTCCCAGCAGGAGTCCAGTCCCTGTGCTCCTCAGAGTCCCAGCAGGAGTCCAGTCCCTGTGCTCCTCAGAGTCCCAGCAGGAGTCCAGTCCCTGTGCTCCTCAGAGTCCCAGCAGGAGGCCAGTCCCTGTGCTCCTGTTGGTTCTTATGGCACTAACAGGTCACAGATGCCGTTGTATGTTGCTGTAATGCTATTTTGCTGTTGGTTTCCCACAACATTCTTGGAGTTTAGGACTCAAACCTATTTATAGTTAATGACCGTTTCTATTTTCCCATTCTTTACAGTCGGATGATGCTAAATCTGAACACAGAGATACTAAATATGATGAAAAAGTTCAGCTGCTTTCATTTGTCTTTAAAGGGATTTTCTGACAAGACTTTTTCCCACATAGAGCAGAATAGAAAGTGTAGTTATTACGACCCGGTGACTCCAGAGTGCTGCTGAGCAGAGTGGGCAGGTCCATTACAGCTGTGGCCTTCAGAGCGACCTGCCGCCTGTACACAGCTGTCACACAGCTGTCACACTGCTGTCACACTGCAGCACGCCAAAGCCCAGAGTCTGACCACAGACAGTTGTTAGAGCTGGATCCATACTCACAAATGGATTTGACTACAAAAGTTAAAAATGAATACATGTATATACAGATAAGTGACTTTGAAAAACATATTTGAGAGGCTTATGTGCCAGAGATACTTTGGTATTATTCTATGTTTGTACCATATACATTTTCACTCTTTGTAAGATAAGATCGCCTTTATTCCTCTGAGGGGAAATTTACTGCTGTAACTAAAGAAGAATGCAGCTACAGAACTTTTATGGCATATTTTCAAAACAGACACATCTGTTTTGAAAATAAACTCTTCATATATGTAATGTTTAAATGGCAGAAAGAGCTTCCTCCTGTGTTTGTAAAATGGAGGTAATAATGCATCATTTTTATACAGCGCTTTTTGAACTCTCTCCAAACACGGTGGTGATAAACTACTACTGTAGCCACAGCTGCCCTGGGGCACACTGACAGAAGCAAGGCAACCAGTCTGTGCCATCAGCCCCTCCCACCATCACCAACCACTCACACACACACCAGACTCATTCTAATGTGGGGGAAGTGTCTTGCCTAAGGACACAACCACAGTTTGGCACTTTACAGCCGCCCCACTGTGGCACCTGCTGTTCCCAGAGGTCTCCCATCATGGAACTAACCACACCCTGCCCTGCTCAGCCCCTTGCTTTCACACTCAAGTCTGGCCACGTGTTCGTACAAAACCATGTGTCTACTGTACCCGCTCAAAGCAACAGATAAAGAGGAAGAGAGCGATCGGTTTGGACTTTGTGTTTTCTAAGCTTATGTTGTGTTTGTGTTGGGTTCTTTCTTAGTGTTTGTATCTGGAGGGCAATGAGCTGCAGAGTGTCCCCCCGGCTCTGTTCACCAGTTTACCCAACCTGGAGTGGCTGGACCTCAGACACAACCACATCCCGGCTCTCCCCGCGGACATCGGCCGACACAGGTACCAGGTTTTGAAAGTCTCCAAATCATTTAAGGCAAGTGTAGCTCGGTCTATTCACAAAGCAACTCAAAAGGCTTAGTAGGTGAGTGATGTTTATTTATATAGAGCCTTTCACAGACCCAGGTCCCCCCAAAGCACTTTACAAGGTTCAGAAATTGTTCCATTCTCTCCACACGGTGATGACAGAAGAGAGACACTGAACACACTGGTCCATCAAAGCCTCCGACCAAACACCATCCCACCACCTCACTCATTCAAACCTGTTGTATATGATTTTAGTGGTAGGGGATATTGGAGCACCTGGAGGAAACCTACGCAGACACACGGAGACATAATAATAATAATAATAATAATGCATCAGTTTTATACAGCTCTTTTCTGGACTCTCAAAGTCTCTTCACTTTATTATTCTGTCTCTCCAAACATGGTGGTGATAAACTACTACTGTAGCCACAGCTGCCCTGGGGCACACTGACAGAAGCGAGGCCATCGGCCCCTCCCACCACCACCAACCATTCACACCAGACTCATTCTAATGTGGGGGAAGTGTCTTGCCTAAGGACACAGCCACAGTTTACACTTTACAGCCACAGCCGCCCTGACAAAATGTACTTTCTTTTCAAATGTTGCTGGTGCGGCTTATACACAGGGGCACCTAATATTACATTAAACATACAATCTTATCTTTAATCCCACAGCTAAAAGAATGTTTTTTTAATGAGTAAAAGCCCATTAAATTAACATGACTAGCCTGGATGAAGGCTGCAAAATTAGATGTTGAATAATATTGAAAATTACTGCATAGACTTGTGGCAAGGTTAGAGATTCTTTCATTAAATATGAAATGGGTTTGTACTTTGAATGCCAAACCAAAGAATGTCCATAACAGAATCATTCAGACTAAGTTTATCTCGGAGGTCATTGCAGAATGTGTTGGTTCATCCCCAACTCCCTGAGCAGAGTTTTACTGCAGAAAGTCTATTTTGGCTGTTGCCTGGTGAAACTCCTGTAATACCCAATGGTGCCTGCCAAACATGTCTCTGTGACCCAGATCTGGAAATGGTGCCATGGCTGACCATCCGGCGCTTTCAAACACATGCATAAACCATCACAAGCTAACAAAACATGCTAATCGTACTCTACACTAAGAGAATACAAGATCTCAGAATCTATCTTTGAAGAAGGGAAGTTATAAAGTCAGTATAGTGTCTTGTCTGTACAGAACATAGACTGTACCACACTGTGGAAAGCCCCGCCTGTTTTTCATGGGATTTACAAATAAATATTGATATTAATAGTGTATGTTGGGTTCGATTCCCCACGAGACTTGCTCGAACGGCTCCCACTCCTGTCGGATGTTGTTGTGTCCTTGGGCAAGACACCCACCACCTGTGAGGGACTGGTGCTATAAGCATTGGGTGATTGTCACCCCCCAACCCAGAAATGGATTTACATATTATTAAAGCTGGGGTACCTAACTTTGTTTTGAAATAAATAGTCTTCTAAAAGCTAAAGTCTTGTCCACTTCTCTGAATGAAAAAGCTGATCCAAAGAAGTGACTGAGACCAAGAAGAGAAATGGTTTAACCTCTTTAGACATCACATAGTTTCATGTTTTTCCAAAGTTCAGTCCCAGCTGTTCGAGAACATTAGAATTTATATGAATGTTGCTGCATGTGCTTGAGTCATTATGACCTGCACAACATTTTCACTTTTTAGTCCCTAAGGCTCAAACAGACATGAAGTCCTGAATTTACTTTCATTCTCAGAGGGATTCCCAAACCTCGAACAAACAGATAGATAGATACATAGATAGATAGATAGATAGATAGATAGATAGATAGATAGATAGATAGATAGATAGATAGATAGATAGATACATAGATACATAGATAGATAGATAGATACAGTGCCTTGCGAAAGTATTCGGCCCCCTTGAACCTTTCAACATTTCGCCACATTTCAGGCTTCAAACATAAAGATATACAAATTTTATTTTTTGTCATAAATCAACAACAAGTGGGACACAATCGTGAAGTGGAACAAAATTTATTGGATAATTGAAACTTTTTTAACAAATAAAAAACTGAAAAGTGGGGCGTGCAATATTATTGGGCCCCTTTACTTTCAGTGCAGCAAACTCAGTCCAGAAGTTCAGTGAGGATCTTTGAATGATCCAATGTTGTCCTAAATGACTGATGATGATAAATAGAATGCACCTGTGTGTAATCAAGTCTCCGTCCCACTTTTCAGTTTGTTATTTGTTAAAAAAGTTTCAATTATCCAATAAATTTCGTTCCACTTCATGATTGTGTCCCACTTGTTGTTGATTCTTGACAAAAAATGTAATTTTTATATCTTTATGTTTGAAGTCTGAAATGTGGCAAAATGTTGAAAGGTTCAAGGGGGCTGAATACTTTCGCAAGGCACTGTAGACTGATAGATAGATACATAGATAGATAGATACATAGATAGATAGATAGATAGATAGATACATAGATAGATAGATACACGACCATCGAGGGCTTCAAAATGGAACTCAAAAAACACCTAAAAAGCAGCCAAAAATGCACACATTAGCACCAATGTGGCTCGCTGGTCTCACTCTCCCGATGCTACTGACTTTGTTTGTTTGTTTTGGTGATGTTGATGTGTCTCGTCTTGATTATAAGTGGGGAGGATGTAGGGTTTTTATTCAGATCTGTTGTTTGTGGTTTGCTTGTCTTGGTCAACCCTGTGTTTTGTGACAGCTTGAATTTTGTCTTGTTCTTGTTCTGGGTTGTCCGCCCCCTGCCAGGGACTGCAGATGTAAACTAGCCTCAGGCTAACTCTGGTACAATGCATCAAATGGAAACATTTATGTTCTAATTGTACATGGTTCCTTTTAACTAAATAAACTAAACTAAACTATAGATAGGTAGGTACAAAAACATTAAACAGACTGACAGGCACCGACATAACAAGTCTCATCTGACCATCTTTTCTAAAATAGAGGCATGATTTCTAAATGAGACCAGCTTCAAATGAACTTCCTCTTTCTCCGCAGCAGTGTTATTGACGCCTGTGTATTATCTGGTTAGATTGTGTTTGTGTGATCTTGTTCAAACGTATGAATATTTGGCCTGTTTGGTTTTGCTCCATTTGACTGTATGAAGCATCAATACAGTTAAATGATAGTCATAGATAGATTATAAATGGACTGGAGCTTTCTTCTAAAATCCCAGCAGTGTTTTGATGATACAGTGCTTTGAATTTACACGTTTATTGATGAACCGAAGGATCCGTGTATTTCAAAGCAGCTTGAATCCATCCCACAGATTTGGACGTGTCTTTGAAGAAGGCAGCAGGTGGCAGGCGAACGCATTGGCTTAAGTTGAAAAATAAAAAGGCACGTCGGTGGGTGGCTCGCCGATCTGCTGTGAAAGATTTCCAAAAGGCAGTCACCGAGACATATTTGGATTTGTCATTTCCAGTGTCTCACAGGGAAGCACCAGCGCCGTCCATTTGTTTCTGCTTCTGTGTTCTGTACGCCCATGGGCAACACACTTTTTACCCAGGTTTTACCAGATGCACTGAAAGCACATTTGGATGGAAGAACGGGACAGTTTCTGCAGTATTCTAACAATATAGGTGCAGGACGTAGGCATTTGTCACACACTTGAATCTGCTCACAGACTTTTGAACACAGGTACATATAGACACAGGTACATATAGACACAGGTACATATAGACACAGAGACACAGGTACATATAGACACAGAGACACAGGTACATATAGACACAGGTACATATAGACACAGAGACACAGGTACATATAGACACAGAGACACAGGTACATATAGACACAGGTACATATAGACACAGGTACACAGAGACACAGGTACATATAGACACACAGACACAGGTACATATAGACACAGAGACACAGGTACATATAGACACAGAGACACAGGTACATATAGACACAGAGACACAGGTACACAGAGACACAGAGACACAGGTACATATAGACACAGGTACATATAGACACAGAGACACAGGTACATAGAGACACAGAGACACAGGTACATATAGACACAGAGACACAGGTACATATAGACACAGAGACACAGGTACATAGAGACACAGAGACACAGGTACACAGAGACACAGAGACACAGGTACATATAGACACAGAGACACAGGTACATATAGACACAGGTACATATAGACACAGAGACACAGGTTCATAGAGACACAGAGACACAGGTACATATAGACACAGATACACAGGTACATATAGACACAGAGACACAGAGACACAGGTACATATAGACACAGATACACAGGTACATATAGACACAGAGACACAGGTACATATAGACACAGAGACACAGGTACATATAGACACAGAGACACAGGTACATATAGACACAGAGACACAGGTACATTAAGACACAGAGACATAGGTACATATAGACACAGAGACACAGGTACATATAGACACAGAGACACAGGTACATATAGACACAGAGACACAGGTACATATAGACACAGAGACACAGGTACATATAGACACAGAGACACAGGTACATATAGACACAGAGACACAGGTACATATTGACACAGAGACACAGGTACATATAGACACAGGTACATATAGACACAGAGAGACACAGGTACATATAGACACACAGACACAGGTACATATAGACACAGAGACACAGGTACATATAGACACAGAGACACAGGTACATAAAGACACAGAGACACAGGTACACAGAGACACAGAGACACAGGTACATATAGACACAGAGACACAGGTACATTAAGACACAGACATAGGTACATATAGACACAGAGACACAGGTACATATAGACACAGAGACATAGGTACATATAGACACAGAGACACAGGTACATATAGACACAGGTACATATAGACACAGAGACACAGGTACATATTGACACAGAGACAAAGGTACATATAGACACACAGAGACACAGGTACATATAGACACA